AACTATGAAATTGAATTTTCCAGATTTTTTTTTTTTGGCTCAATTCAATATAAATATAAGATGGTTAGGTCGAACTCGGTTAATCGGACCAATTCAGATTATTATTTCTCTCTAGTTGTGATATTTATTTACAAGTTATTTTTAACTAATTTATAAAAAATAAAAAAAAGTTAGTTCAAATAAATTCGTTGTTTTAAAATTAATCCCATCTTCTAATAAATTCCTTAAACTAAATGCAGAATTTTTTTATCATCTTTTTAACACAATTACTTAACAATATCCATATCAAGAGCACTAATTTATAGATTTTACAAAATGAATTATGAACAAGAACATAAAAAGCTTTCAGAACGTGACTTGTAATGGAAACAAAATAATATACAACAAAAATGATAAGAAATCGCGTTAGTCGGAAGTCATAAGGTGAAACTCAATTTAGACAGACTCAACATAAATGGCGAACAAATTAGGAAGTCAATAATAAAAAAAGAAAAGGGAATCCATGCAGAAAAGGACAAAGGGGGAACAAAGACCAAACAATGCGACAACTTGTGGATTCATATCAGAAACCCGGCCGCTGCTCCCGGATGAAGCACATCATCCCCTTTGCTTCTTTCTCATTTCTCGGACCCTATCATCAAACAATTCAATGCATCTTTTTTTTATTAAGTTTTTTAAAAAATAAATTGTAACATCTTAGACTTCTAAATTGAATGTGCTAGTTAGAGTTAGAGATCCCCTCAAGACAAAAAAAAAAAAAAAGTGCTACTTGGAGCAGTCTATGAAAATTAAATGCTTGCTTCGGTTCTTTTTTCAAAAAAAAAAAAATCATTAACTTTTTGTGCTGGACTTAGGCTGGTAGGAAGTGTAAGAGGCTGAGCAATGAAGGCCCAAATTATTTAGTGCCAAAGTAATAACCCGACTTGACTTTATTGCTGGGTCAACATTGTTGACCCTTGGCCCAGGAAGCCCCAGACTAGTCAGGCAAGATGACCTTCCTTTTTTATTTGGGGGTATATTATTATAGTACTATTAGGAAATACAGCGTGATATGTATTTTGTTTAAAAGAAAAGTCTCACTAAAAGATCGCTGGAGCAATTTATTTGCGAAAAAAGACCAAATTTTGAATTAGCTTTACAAGTCCGAAAGATCTAAATGAAATTAAATCAATTTGCAAAAAGACCTAACTATCCCTAATCTCTAGAAACGTTAACCTTATTGCGGATTTTTTTTTTATAATAAGCATTAGGGATGGTCATGTCTTTTCACAAACAAATTTAATTTTATTTAAGTCCTCCAGACTTACAGAACTAATCTAGAATGTTCTAGTTCTTTTTTAAAAGATAACCTGTTGTGGCGATCCTTTAATGCAAATTTTCTTTTTTTAAAAAAACTTTTTTTTTTAGGAACCTTAAAAAAAACTAAGAACGAGTCAAATGGGAGATTAGCTTGGTCTTACTTTCGTAGAGCAGTGCGTCCCAATTATTAATGATGACACGCAAAGGCCAATAGTATGTTACTACTTACTATATTATATCATGCTTCACTGGGGGACCCTACCAGGAAACGGAGTGGGAGTAGGGGTGGCTTGCGTTGTTTTGTGGGGATGCCTTACATTGCATACCCCATCATTATCATTATAATAAGAAACACCAAAATTTAGGAGATCTCAGTGACAGTTCTTAGATTCTGGTTAGATCCAGTGTCCCAAAGTACATTTCCCATAGGGCAATATGTTGCCGGGTAACTTCAGCTTCTTCTTGAAATTGAAACCTAACCCTAGTATTTACCTCCACCTTGTCCATCATCTCATCCCAAAAGTAAAGTAAGTTTGGACAGTTTTCGAAGGAATCAAAAGATAATGTGTGATAAACCAATTCAATTATCAGTATACTTATTAACATACAATGAGCGAATGCTTTTAACTTCTATTTAATAATTTTTAGTAAACTGCTACTGTACCTTTCCCTTCGGCAAGTGAGAAGATATACCAAGGATGAAGCCCGGCAGATGCAACCTCTGGTTCCCCATAAGTGAGAGGGAGAGAAGAAAGTGTATTCAAACATCAAATTTAATGCAGTGGACCCCAGTTCTATCTGAACTTTAAATGATTCACAAATTTGCAGGCTAAGTAATGAGAGTGAGAGAGACGTGAGAATAATAGTAAAATCTCTTGAACAAGAAATAATAATAAATTCCATTGATCTTTCTGCTCTCAACACACTTCAGTTCATTCACTTGCCATATCATATCAGTTCTGGATTTAATAAAACGTGCACGCAATTTCACCCTCAATCATGCAGCACAATATGCTGCACTGGTAACCACTATTTCTAATCCCAACAGCTGTTCCATTTACTCACTCGAACAAGAAAAAGGCAACAGAAAATATAACCTTCTAATCATAGTCCAATCAAAATTTAAATAGATGACGTGCATAACGAGATTTACAGCAGTAATGGAGCCAGCCATAGGTAACTTGTAATTGTGAAGGTGATTTCTTTTATAAAATCTCAAGTGTTACAATAAATGCAGGAAATAAGGCAGATTTGTTACATTCTACCTTATCTCCCTGCCTGCATGGTTGAAGCAAAACTAATGTACAAGAGCATTTTTGGGGCTCTCCAAAACTTCCGCTAAAATTTTCATATATATATATATATAAATAAATCTTGATTATCATTGCAGAAGCCGCTTCCTTCTTGGGCTTTTTTCAATCTGCTTTTTGCACAGTGGTCTTAAACAAGAGGACATATAACTTTTGATCCATGGAGAAATACAGAAACCCTCCAACTGAATGAGTCACAAAGGACCCGAAACTCGTCCCCACAATACAGTGCCAAGCCGGACCATATGCCCCATCAAACTCCTGCAAAATTTCCAACCAGCCAGCCAACCAAATCCTTTGACCAATCATTCACACAGACACATTTTGAAATAGCACCAAGAAATCTAACAAAAACCCAATTTTTCTTAATTGAATACTTGAAACTGATTAAATGGTTATGATTCCTAACCTTCTTGAGGGCAAGTGCCAGGGTCTTGGATGTGAACTTCTCCATGCTATCAAACGTCTTTCTGGCACAATCCACGGCATGGATCTGCATAAACGGCGGCATATCAGCAGAAACCACTTTGACCCCATTAACAGCAAAGACATCTCCTAAATCGACCTGCGAGCCACAGAAGGATCTTCTTCTACCACGACTTATAGCCAGTGAAACAGAGGGCCTCTTAACTTCATCTCCAAATGGACCCCTACCATTAAGCCCTGCACAACAATCATCCACCTTATCATTCTTCACCAGACCCTGCACCTCCCTCCTTTCCAATTCATGAGTAGATTTCTGGGGTTTCTCCTTGGACGTTTTCTTAGACGGCTTACACTCTTTTGGGAGCTTTGGAGCGCGTTTAGCGTGATATGTCTTGGAGGAACGGAGAATGGCGGAGGAAGTCAAGGACTTGACCTGCAAATGGGAGTCTAAATAAGAAGGGAGAGGCTGAGGATGATGGGGACGGTTGTGATTCAAGTTGAGGGAAGAGAAGTGGTGAAGCAAGGAAGAGGGTTTGGAGGGAAGGGTGAGATCTGGTTTAGGGGAAGGGCAGTAGTGAGAAGGGGCAGAAGTAAAGGAGGTGGTGGGTGTGGAATCCATGGAGGAGGACGGTGGAGCTGCTAGGTTGCGCCGGTGGTGGATGGGGCGGTGCGCCATGGAGGAATTGAAGGAGGAGGTGAAGGGCAGGAAGGAAGAGGTGGGGTTTGTAGGGTAGTGTGAAGGAGAGATGATACTAATAAAGGATGGTAACATATCCGAGTGCCGAGTTCATAATTTAGGAATATTAATTATGAAGAAAAATGAGTGACGAGGTGGGGAGGAGGGCGTGGTGGCCTTGGTCAACGACTCGATGAGGAGATCTTGGCAGTTCACAACCGTTGGATACACTTTTTTATTTTTATTTTTTCAATACAACGTCACAAAAAATCATGTAAAAAAAATAAAAATCTAATCATACCTAAAATCATGACGTTCTTACTGTTGAATACACTTGCACGGCAATGCAATGTCTCGAAATTGCTCAGTTTCTTACCACGTTCGCATGTAAATTTTATTTTTTTCTGATAATCTTTTTTAGCCTCTTCATTTTTTTAAACATATTAAATTATATACACACATAGACAGATATACACGCGCACATTTTTGTTACAGTAAACAATGGGATCGCGCTTCTATGATATTTTTCTTATTAAATCGTAAAAGCATAAAATTTCAATTTTTTTTTTGACTAGCTTAAACCTGTTTAATGGCAACTGAAAAATAATGGTTTTTCTTTTTTGGTAAACCAATAATTTTATTAACTTGCAATCATGTACTCCCTCTAATTTTATTTATAAAATACATTTTAAAAGTCTATTTAATTTCATTTATAAGTAATGATATGGCTTTTTTGATAATATTTAAAAATTATTTTTAATGTTATCCTTCATGAAAAAAATAACATGAGATTACTTTTTAAATTTATTATATAAGAGTATATTTATAATTCTATACAATTTTTTCCTTGTACTAAAAGGACAAAAATAGTAATATATACTCTCTCCGTTCAAAAATGTAAGATGTTTTTTAAAAAGTTTGATATTAAAAAGTGAAAGGCATTTTTTATTTTTTGAGGTATAATTATTATTTTTTTTAAAGTATTCCTATTAATAAATAACTTTATATTTATTGTAAGGTGTTTAATAGGAATAAATATAAAAATAAAATGTTAGTTTAAAAATAAGTAACTACTTTATTGAGGTGAAATTCAATTAAAAATATAAAATATTTTTTTAATAAAAAGAGTATGTATATATGTATGTATGTATAAAATTGGCCCCTCAGTTGTTCAAAAAACTGTAAAGTATGGAGTATGTCACTATGACAAGGACTGTACCTGGGTCCTGGGATTCTCAACTTGCCCATCCTAGGCAGCCCTTCCAACTAGGAGAAGTTGAACAATAATCAAACCAATAAATAAATAATAAATTAGTTTCCAAGAGATTCGAATCATCCCACTTTTCAAAGAAATTGATGTTGTTCAGCTGCAAGATTCGCTAGACTTATGGATCCATACAAATGTTGTATCTCTCCTTTACACAATTGACTGCGTCAATCTTGTAATAAAAAGAAGAGATTCAAATCCTTTGTCTCTGAAATTGACACAGGTATCTGTGTCTCAGCATTGCTCAATTCTGAAAAATTAGATACCACAATCAGGATTCTGCTTGAAGAATGCTTTTCAGTTCCAGGGACTAGGGTGGCGAGCATCTCTGAAAATAGAAGTACCACCAGACGCAGCCGGGGAAGGCGATGATGCAATGTAACCTGTGCCTGACAGAGATACTGAAGGCGGATTCATAGGATTGCCCTGATGTGAAAGAGCAAAGCGTGATGGACTTCCAGTTACCCCGAGACTTGCCCTGGAAGGCTGTGAAACCTTCAAATCAAATGGAGCAACAAAGCATCAATATTTCATCATACAATCCATCAATAGGAAATCCAAGGGAAAATCTATTTATTGTAAAGAAATGGGACGTGTCCTGTACAGCATCTTAAGTGGCATTTATAGGTTTGGCCAGCCCCATCACTCGCCTTCCAGCTTCACATTCATTCATCCGTTGAACATGTTATGATCTAGTCTAGTGCAATCTATATCGTGCCAGGCAATACATATTTATATATATATACTACATATATATATATATAGGAAGACAGTTTAAATATAAAATAGCCCGCAGCAAGTTGACTGCATAAATCATGGTCAGAAATTCAGTTCAGTCCAACGCTAGACTTCTGCCATTTTCAAATGAAATTCACCAGTTTAACAGCCCTGTCAGAACTCAAATGAACCTAAAACAAATGGGCTTGGGTCCTCAGAAACCATTAATGTTCTGTCAGTTTTTGCAGTTCAGCATGTAATAATAACGTGAGCTCTATTAAATAGTTAGATCTACCAAAGATGAACCTTCTGCAGGCAGCAGCCATTTCAGATGCTCATACATTCATGTCAGACACCAAATCTAAAATCAACTTCCACAAACAAAGCTTGAAAAATCATTGATGTGATACTGCTTCTCGCAGTGAGCAACATTACCATGTTTTGTTGAACACAAGGCGTCCTCCTAAGAGGGGATTCCGAAGGTGACATGCTACTCATCCAATGCACATTACGAGAGAGCATGTTATGGTTCGAAAGATCATCATTCTCACTCCCTTCCACATCACAACCAAGATTTGCTTCTGAACCCACTCTTGGAATTATATGCCTAGTCAGTGAACCAGTACCATTTGTCCCATCTGCTTGAAATGGAACAGAAGAGCGCAAGGCAATATCTTGCACACTAGTTCGTCTTTTTAATTCCTCCTCCACATTTAAGATCTGTCATCCGTAACAGCACAAAATCGATAATCTTAACACCAAGCACGGCCACAGATCAAGAACTTGAACATCTCAAATTCTAAATGAATTGTGAACATGAAAAAAGAGATGAACCAGTGGTTACCTGCTTCAACGCTAAAACAAGATTATGTTTCTTTGCATTCAAAACTTGTAACTTGTCCTCCACTTCTTTTTTCCTTTTCTCTTTGCCATTTAACATATCTTCTCTGTCTCCGATCTGGCATCAACTCCAATGGTAAGCGCATTCGATAAAATACATATCGCTAAGGCACTTGAATTAAGCACTAAAAACCCACAATTAATCCATAAATCAATTTCAATAATTCCATAATTAAAAGATTCCCGAAATCCATTCCCAAGCAAACCTATTATGGCAGCTAAAACCAAAAGAACTATTAATCAAGTGTGAAGCTAAAGAAGGAAACGGAACTGATAGAGTACGTTTTCTTACCGTCTCTGTCTGCTTTGTTACTAAAGAGGCATAACCGTCGAAAGGTTTAGACGCTTTCTCTATCGCATCAGTCTTGGAATCAGTTAACGAATTAGAGCCATCAACTGTTTTCCGGATGGAACCATTACAGAGTTCCGGTTCCCTGTGATCTTCGCCCTCCCGCGAATGACCTTCTCCATTATCACTGACCTTCTCTGATTCGGGTTGAATCGCAACAGACCGCTTATCAATTACAGGGACCTCATTTTGACCGCCAGATAGAGAGACAAGGTTAGGGATCGAGAGGGTGGTGGACGTGGTGGTGACCGCCCCGTCAGCAAGGAGGCGGGAGAGAGCCCTGGTGCGACGCCCAAGAAGCGATTTGAATTCTTTGAGAGAAATTTTCGGGGCTGGCATGAGCCATCGACGAGGCACGTCTGGTACTCTATGGAGATTCCCTCTGTAAAGTGAAATGGCCACCATCTTCACCGAGTTTTCTTCATCCCCAAACAACCCATAGTTGAACCTCTATATAGATTTCCATTGACAGTAAGAAAATCAACAAATGTTAAGTTTTTTTTTTTTGGGAAAAAAATTCGTCTTTTGTCTGTTTGGAATTTTATCGAAACATTTACCATTGAGTTGGGGGGGGGGGGGTTGGTGAACGATGATAATGAATATATTATTAATTGTCATTTTTCCATTATATTATTAATATAAGTAAAAAGTAATTTAAATCACATAACAGTTCGTCCTGTTTACGAAGCATTACAGAAAAATATCTAGTCGACTCATAACAGCTCAGCTAAAAATATCTGTAGAAATAGAACTCAATTGGTAGTTGTAATCTCCATTTGATAGTTGAACCTTGGTGTAGAAATGGTTGTCAATTGAACTCACTCATCATCAATGGATGTACAGAAAATGGTGGTAAAACTTATGATCACCAAATGTTAATTGTCTTGAGAGAAAAAGGGGGAAAAAATGACAAGTTTGGAACACAAAATGCTCATTTATCCCAATTCTATCACCTTATTATTGTCCACTGGTTACGAAATCTAAAACATATGATCAAACAGAAGGGGACTCAGTAGTTGGACGGTTCCTCCATGAGGTGAGGAAAATTCAAGAACATCTCATTTTCTTGATCGAGCATGGCTTCTACGAAGGAAATCTCAGAGGATGACGATGAATTCCGAACGTCACTTCTGGGAACTTGCAGTGACGTCACCTCATTCTTATTCTCGTTCGTTGTTGAATTTTCGTTCTCTGGGTTATCAGCAGCAGGTGGGAAAACATCTTCAAGAAGAAAATCATTCCAGCAAAAGGGAAAAGGCCAGCCTTCCTGGGCAGCATTGGAACAACAAATAGAAGAAGAAGAAGAAGACGGTGAAGAAATTGACGAGAAGAAGCCTTCCCCAAATATAGCTGCTGGGATTATCTCCTTCTCCATCACGTGTGTGTTACTGAAAAAGCTACTTTCTGTTGATGGTTCCAGCTTTGGTGAGGTTGAAGGTAGCTTTGGAAACGAGTCTGATTTGAACGATACTGCGTTCTTGAAGTCTTTACTGAGAGACCCGATTCGGGTGCTTGGTTTCTTGATTCCCCCAATGTTTCCATAATCAGCTAGGAGTTTAGAGAAGGGCTTGTGAGTGATAGGGTCTATTCCCATGTCTGTGAGCTTCTTCTTCAGCTTTGTGTTCCAGTAATTCTTTACATCGTTGTCTGTTCTACCAGGAAGCTGCTGGGCAATCATAGACCACCTGCACCATAGATTAGAACCGTCACCATTCTTTCATACTAACATACAAAACATAAAAACTACCATGGTTATATCGGCCTATTGTACACAGCCACAGTTCTAAAAGGCGAATTTTTTACTGAAGTTGCAGCAGAGAATAACTGGGTTTTCTTCTAAGTTACATATTGCAAAAGGTAAAGTTCACTTTTATTATTTTTAGCCCAAAGGTACGTGTTTGATCATAACAAGTGTAAAAGTAAAAATTATCTAATTGCAGTTTACTACATTGATAGGACATACAAATAAAACATCAAAGAATAAGAGGGGAAGACCAAAAGAAGATGTCATTTTGAAATGTTTTTGTCTTGGCAACATAACAATGAAGAAGCGGATGCCAGACGAGAAAAGCAAATGACGCTGCACAGAATTGCAAAAGAAAGAAATTTAGGTTTCAAAGTTAAGAAGAAAAGTAAGGAATAGCTCGTAGTAAATTAGTTATAATCACCTGCTTCCAATGGCTGCGTGAAGTTTAAGGATTAAATCCTCTTCTTGGGGTGTGAAGCTATCATGCTTGAGATCTGGCCTGAGGTAATTAGTCCACCTGAGCCTGCAACTTTTCCCACACCTCTTCAAACCTGAAAATGACCTCGATAGAAGTTGTAGAATCAAGTAACGAGTTGAAATCTTGATTAGAGACCCATTTCATGTTTAACAAAAAGTAATTCTTTTCACCTGCTTTTTTGGGAACAGATGTCCAGTTACCAGACCCATGCTTTGAGACAAATGCTATCATCTTAGCATCTTCTTCCGGAGTCCAAACGCCCCTTTTAACACTGATCTTCTCGCAGCATGGAGGCCTCACCATTTTCTTTTCTGTTAATCCAAAATCACATTGGGATTTAATTGCTTAAACAAAACAAAGATTGAAAAAGAGGGGGGGGGGAAGGAAGGAAGTGTAAAGATTGGAAAAGAGAAAGAAGACTTGCAACTTCAAGATTAACCTGTTCTGCAAATTGACACTCCCTTTGACATGAAAGAGGTGATAGAGGGAGAAGATGGGTTTAAAAGATATCACTTGTTAGTGTAGAAGCAAGAAAAGCATGGGTTTTTTTTTACATATTAAACTTCATTTGCATGATGATTGGTGTTTGTTGTCATAACAAATTAACAGCTTCAGAAGGAGAGATGAAAATAAAACACATAGTCCTTCTCACTTTGGGTCAGGTTTGAATCCGGTGAGTTATTTGGTTAAACTTAGATTAAATTTAAGTCAGTAAAACTTTTATTAGTACAGGTTGATTAGTTTCTAATCTTTTCTCACAAGTTTGATGATAGTATTTGTTTAAACTATAGATTCAGCTAGTTTAGATTGAACCGTTTCCAATGTGTTTTACTATTTTTCAAGCTTGGGCCGTCATTTTCGCGTGATGTGTGCTGCTAAACCTTGTGCATATTTCAATTGTCGGCCTCCATCGCTTTTTATATTCTGGCATTCATTAATTCGTTTTCTTTATATATTAGCATGGCTTCTTTAAATTATTTAAATTACTAAACTACAAGTATCTTGCAACACTAAATAACTTCAAAGTCATTTCGCTCATATTTTGATGCATAATCATTTTGACCTTGATATATGTACGTGTGAATGGTGAGCAGAAGAGACAGTCTCAAATTCATTGGACAACATTAACTTCAATTTCTCATTATGTGTGAATTCAAACTTAAGCTGATTTTCTTGGAGAGGGAAAAAAAGGAGGAGGTGGGGATGCTGAAGAGACGAGATTGGTGAGCAGCTTGAGTTAGGGTGCAAGAAAGGCCACCACTTCAAAAAAAAAATGACGGTACAAGCCCAGTTCATATTTGTTTCTGGAAGGGCTAAGCCTAACCCAACAAAAACGAAAGGACTCCAGAATTTCACCTCTTTTGTTTTCTTTTTGTAGTGAACTCTTAAATGGTTAAAGATGAGCAGACTTTGACCTCGTCGTCTTCCAAGTAATTATGATAGGCTTTTTTTTTTTTTTGCGGTTTCCTATTTTCAAAGTCTACGCCGAATGCGCTTGGTCAGTTTCCTGCGGAAAAAGAAAAACTGTCGTGGAGCCAAGTGGAAGTGGACGTGTCATGGGCGTCTCTTTTGATCCATCGTGGCATGCCCTCAGGACAGTTCTTCATGACTAAGGAAATCTCACTTTCAAATTTCAATTCAACTCTTTTTTTTTTTACTAGATAAGTTTCAATTCAACTGCCCTCGTATTTTATTCTCTTCTCAAATGAAGACCCGTGGACCCTCTTGACCCCTTTGATCTGTGGAATTCAATGTTACTTTTTTTTTTTTTCGGCCAACAGAACTCAATGTTACATGAAGTTTCTACTTTCTCTCACATCAAATTCTTCTGTTTATTTTATCATGGACATTCTCATAAAATTCAATTAATAGTTAAGAAAATAACATAACAATAGTGTGAACATCACGGTGTTTTTTTTTTTTTTAATATCTACCCCTAACTTCACTCTTTCCAATAAAAAGAGACACGTGTAAATATGTCAGCGCCAAACTTAAATTTAAAATCTCTTTCAAATGAAGAAGATAGCATTATCACTTGAACATATTGTTGTCAGCATAAATATTACGGTACAACCAATGGGAGTTTGGTTTAGAGAAAATGACTAATTCTTTACAATACAGTAAATCAATGTCAAATTTTATTGAAAGAAATATTCCCATTTGACAAGATCCAACATAAAAATAACAATAAAAAACATACTATGCATTTGGGATGGAGGGGGAAGGAAATTTTTTTTTTTTTTTGGGTTTTGCCTTTTTTCCCCCATTTTGGAGCAGAGAGTAATGAAAAGACAGGTCACTATTGCATAGTTTGCACCGTGTATGCCAACCAATATTGAATGTCGTGATTATTAGACGAAGCTCTATATGTTGTGTTTATTTATTGTCTGTTGTGTTTGTAGTGTGAGGTCTGGCGTACAGCCAAACCAGATTTTATCCCAATAAATAATGAAAACCATTTAAATTTTTCCAGCGGAACATACTTGTGCTCACGTGTAGCCACCCAATTTACAACGACCTCGCGTCCCACTCACTTCGAACATTACTATGCTTCGTCCTTACATCCTTATCATTAATTAATTCTTCCATCGACCCCTCTTGCTATAATAACATTGTTTTAATTGATAAAGGATATGTCACTCTTTACCCTTGTAATCAATGAGTTTCGTTGAAATGATTTTGGAATTTACAAAACGTAAACCAATTTTAAGAATCTTTGTGGGTTGAGTGAGAAGGCAGATTGAATTGTGCATCTTTGCATTAAATACGTGAGCCAGAGGAATGGGACAAGGACAAGATAAGTGGGTGGAAAAGTTGAAGGCAAATTACACAGTCACAGTCACATACAAGGAAAGTGGTATAGGTGAAAGCAGAAATGGAGGAAGGGGAATGAGCAAGAAGGAATGAAAATTATTTATTGTGGCATCATTTCCTGCAACTGTCCCGCTTGGCCATTAGGTGTCCACTCTCGGACGACACACCAAAGTGAGTGCGCCCAACACTGTTCGTTAATAGCCGTTGCCTCACTTCTTGCTCTTCCTAATATGAATCCACTGATTGAATTGTGGTAGATGGTTTTCCTACTTTTTAACCGATGTAATAAAATATTTTATTTATGATCAATCTTCACTGTAATCAAGCTATGACTTTTTTTGGTATTAATCAAGCTATGATTTTGATTATTAATCGTTGAATCATATCTTAATCAATCTTTTTAGCAGTTGACATCACTCTTGTTAAATTAATTTCTACCATTCCATCCCCCACCTATCTACAAAATATTAATTCAATTTAACAGTTTGCTTGTAAATAGATATAATATTTGAGAGGCAATTATTTTTAAATACATTTTTATTTTGTCAAATTGTCATTCATGTCTTGTAGAAAAAAGGATCATGCGATCTTAAACCAAGTCACCTGAGGTTGATGCGATGTTTTAAAAACTAACCGAACAATGAATTGAAAATATCAATGGGTCACAGGTTTTATTATTCAATCGGTCAGACCAGTGGTTGAATCGGTGATATAATAATTAAATAAAAAATAATGTTTATATATACATATATATTGAAAAACAAGTCAAAATGGTTTGACTATTCCGGGTTTCAAGTTTTTGCTTTGGGTCTTCAAGAACTGCTCGGGTCAAACCAAGCCAAGTCAGGTCAACTGCCAGAACGAGCCAAATGATTGAACCAAGCCGTTTTCTTCTTTAGGTGACGGTTCAATTGGTCTGACCGTTCGGGTTGATCCGAGTCTTAAAACACTGGGTTAATGTGGAGAGGGTCCAATTACGTCAGTATCCATATCTATGTATATGTATGTGTGTGTGCATAAATACATAAATTTTGTTGATATAAACATTTTAAAATATTTGTTTCTCAAGAGGAAAAATTATTCCATGCTATTTGTCTTCTAAATTTTGAAGGAACTATTTAGTATTCCTCCGTATGAAATTATAAGATATTTTTTGAAAATATTTGACGTCGTGAAATATAAAATATTCTAAGAAGATCAAAGCTTCGTTAAACAAATTTATTTTAATACTATTCTTTAATTTTTATTTATATCTCCTTTCAATATATTAGATGAATGATATTTTTAAAAGTTTATATTTTTTTAAATAAAATTATTAAGTATATTTAATAAAATATATTAGTATATGGTTTAAAAATATTTTATAATTTGAGACGGGATAATAATACTTTTCAAATTTTACTCTTAGAAGTATTAAAGCACTGCTAGAGTATTGACAATATTAATAGAAATAAATGAAGTGTACCAATTAGGATTGAGTTTAGTAAAAAAATTAATTTCTTACAATATGATAAATTAAAGTTTAAATTTTTATCAAGAGAGGTGCTTGTATTTAATATTTGATCATGCTTTAAATAAGATTACTTGTGATAAGAGAATATTTGTAAGTAATAAAAAAGAAATAAAGGAGGAGTAAACTTGTTAATACAATAATTTAAAGAACAAATATTTTGAAACATCTCATAAATTTAAAATTATTTTAATTATATTTAAATTTTAAAAATATTTTATTAAATATTTAAATAAGAGGATAACGAGGAAATGAAAGTTCAACCTGTTGACATTGATGACAAATACAAATGCCTGTAATTTTAGCCATCCAAGTTTGAATAAGCCTGGAAGGAATGTCCAGCCAAATTTCTTGTTGGCGGTACGATGGCCAAATAATAATAATGACGTTTGTGAGTGATTCTATGGGTCAAAGAATACATTATCCCTTATATTTGAAGGTTAAAATATATTTTTAATTATTTATTTTTATATAAGATTTTAATTTTATCTTTTAAATTTATAAAGTATATTTTTAATTATTTAACATTAATATTATTATTTTCAAATAATTATTTTTTATGTCTATAGTTATTATTTTAAAAAAATTAAACTTAATATGTTAATATTTAAAAATATTTTATAATATTTAAAATTTTAATATAAAAAATTATTAGAATATAATTAATAATATCAGGATTAAAAGACTAAAAAAATAATTATAAAATTAAAAAATTAAAATAAAATAATGTGTAATGTTAAAGGATTAAATATATACTTTAACATATTTTAAATCAAATAGCATTGTAAATCACAAACAAAAATTCAAAAAACATATAAAGGATAAAATTTTTTTAATCATTTTTTATAATTTTTTATATTTTTTCTATTAATTTTTTGTTAACTAATAATTAAAGTTAATTTTTATTAACAATAAGAGTTAAATTATATTATTTTTAAAAATTAAAAGAATAATTTTTATAATAAACAAGTTTATAATTTATGGAGCTACTATACATAAATTTTATGAGATAATTTACTTATTTAATCTAGTAATATTGCCCAAGCGAATGTTAGTTTTCGTTACAAAGAAATTCCCCACACTAAAATAATAGTAATTAATTAAATATCATGATTTGGGCAATTAAAATAAAATTTCTACGTACTCTTTTTCTTACTCGGTTGTTTTCCTTCACGTCTTCCTCTTCGGCCTGCGATTTCACGCCTTTCCGGGTGTGACTGTGTTAGTAATTTTCACAAGGCCAAATTTGTCCCCTCCGAAAAAAAAAACAAAAGAAAAAAAGAAAAAAAGGGTTCTCTCTGCAAATCAGACCGTTACAAACATAGGAAAGAGACACGTGAATCAGGCAAGCAATTTGTTGACACCTAATCACACGGTTTTGTCTTGGTGCGATCCCATTAATCTCTCTCTTCCCTTTTCCTCTTCACTAAAAGCATCAGCCATTACAATAATTATTAACGTCAGGAGTCCGTTGCTCCTTAATGCTTCATGACCATTGACCAAAATCATTCCATTCCATAATTAAAAATAAAATTGTTAATCTTGCAGTAACAAATTAAGGATGATTTTTTTTTTCTTTTTTTGTAAAACTTGACCATTTAGTGTAGAAAGTGTAATTTATGAGTTAACATAAAGAATCCGCTGGCTCCTTAACGCTTGATGTGTGACCTTGAGAATGACGAACACCATCCAATTTCCATTATTATTGATATTATTCCTTTTTTGTATTTTTAAAATTTCGAATCCATAGCTTTATTATATTCTTTCCCTTTTCCCTGAAAAAATTTCTCACATTTCCTGGAAAATGCTAACATCACCGACTCAAATCAACCCAAGCTCCTTCTACATTTCAAAGTTTATTTTAACCTTAGCTTATCGTGACTATAGTGCCATCTCTTTATTTCTCTGACGCGTTCATTTCAAACTTTGGTGTCGCTGACCGAATACGGTCTTCCTCTCTTCGGCTACCTCTTCTCTCTCGCCCCTTTCACGGCACTTCTGTTTAACTTAAAGGTGTTTGTGACGAGAGAGAGAGAGAGACAGAGAGACAGAGAAGGGCTCGACAAAATCTTTTTGCGGAACCCTAACAACGTTCAATCGCACTAGAAATCTTTGGCTGGAACTCTTGCTTGCCATTCTTGAGGTTTCGGTGCTGGTTGCTCGAATCAGAAATGAAGAGAGGCAGACTAGTTAAGTTAGATACTTTTGTGTCATTGACAAGGCAAAGATCCGTTCAGATTCTGATCGGAGTTGGGCTTTTGTATATACTGTTGGTCACCGTGGAAATCCCCTTTGTATTCAAAACTGGGTTTAGTTCTGTTTCTCAGGAGTTCTTGACTCGCCCTTCTAGACTAGAGAGCGAGGAGGACTTGGAAGAAAGGGAGGCCCCTTCACGTCCGCTGGAAAGAGTTTCTGTAAACGCGTACCAACCGATTCCGAGCCAACTCGCCGAGCACAAGATTCTTTCAGGGTTGATCCTGGATAACAGCACATTCGATTTGCTTGATAAGGATGGGTCTCTGGAGCTTTACAAGTCAGCTAAGAATGCCTGGAAAGTGGGGAGGAAGATTTGGGATGAGCTAGAATCCGGGAAATCGCGAGTCGCCGCCAAGAAATCCGAGAATCGATCGGATTCGTGCCCGCGATCGATTTCGTTGTCCGAGTCGGACTTTTTGGCCCATGGGCGACTTATGGTTCTTCCTTGTGGACTGACATTGGGGTCCCACGTGACTGTTGTGGCAAAGCCGCTGGCGGCGCACGCAGAGTTGGACCCGAAGATAACTTTGGTGAAGGATGATGATGAACCGGTGATGGTTTCGCAGTTCATGATGGAGCTGCAGGGTTTGAAAACAGTGGACGGCGAGGAACCCCCCAGGGTTTTGCATTTTAATCCCAGATTGAAAGGAGACTGGAGTGGGAAGCCTGTGATTGAGCTCAATACCTGTTACCGAATGCAGTGGGGTTCAGCGCTTCGGTGTGATGGTTGGAAATCGAAGGCTGATGAAGAGACCGGTAAGTGTGAACAGTGAAGCTATCGTATAATAGTGATAGATCATAAAAGCTGTGGTCTTTTTTTGTTGAATGATAACTTTGGTGGTTGACTTTTTGTCGCTTTGGCTTCCGTAGTCAGAGACTGGCAGCATATTTACGGTGCAACTAGAGTTTTTAACTGCGATCACTCTTTCCTTTGGGTGATTTGCGTTCAAGATAGATATTCATATTACTTTGTCTTCGTATATTATATGAGAGTTAGAGTTGCACAATCATATCCATGATTCGGCATAAACCGTAGGCGGAAGTAGGGGTACGAGTGGCGCGGGGAAATTGGATCCTCCCATGGGCACGGTTATGAAAATCAGATTCTATGCTTTATAGTTTGTCTTCAGTTTCTTTTTAAAGGAAGAAAAACATATGTAGGGAAAAGAACCGAATGAAATTGGAACCCAGAGTTGCGAGGATGAATGCATGGGTCTGCTCGTTTCAGTATGGAGCATGATGTTATGCTGTGGTTGATATGGTGGCAAGCAGGACCCTTGAATACCCTGGCTTTGAGCATGTGACAAATTTAACTTGTGCCTCAAATCTTCGTGGCGGCATAAATATAGGCTTATATTCTCTACATTTTATTTGTTTAATCTGCCATAGTTTCTTCGCTCCCTCTGTTGGGTTTTTTTCCCCGTGAACTGTCTGGTTATTCCATTACTATTGAATCAATTTGAGTTATTCCTTTTATGGACTGTAGTTGATGGGCTGGTGAAGTGTGAGAAGTGGATTCGAGATGATGACAATCATGCAGAGGAGACCAAGGCTAGATGGTGGTTGAATAGACTGATAGGCCGGACCAAGAAAGTTTCAGTTGACTGGCCATTCCCATTTTCCCAGAGCAAGCTGTTTGTTCTCACTCTTAGTGCTGGATTGGAGGGTTATCATATTAATGTTGATGGGAGGCACGTGGCATCTTTTCCTTATCGCACCGTGAGTATTATACTTGAGCTGATCTACATGTATATGAATTTGTGTAGTTTTTTTAATATTACTGTTTAATTTTGTTAGGGTTTTACCCTTGAGGATGCCACTGGGCTTTCTTTGAGTGGCGATATTGATGTCCACTCTGTATTTGCTGCCTCTTTGCCTTCAAACCATCCAAGTTTTGCCCCACAGAAGCATCTTGACTGGTCAAGCAGATGGCGTGCCCCTCCTCTTCCTAATTTTGATGTTGAAATGTTCATCGGCATCCTCTCTGCTGGAAATCACTTTGCTGAGCGGATGGCTGTAAGAAAGTCATGGATGCAGCATAGGCTTATTAAATCTTCAAAAGTAGTGGCTCGTTTCTTTGTAGCACCGGTAATGGTGGCAAGTTGACAACCTTTTCATTGGTCCGATACATTTTAGTTCCTTGTGTCAAATCTGGGTTCTTAACATTCTGACCAACTTTCTTTCAGCATCCCAGAAAAGAAGTTAATGCAGAGTTAAAGAAGGAAGCAGAATATTTTGGTGACATTGTTGTAGTGCCCTACATGGACAACTATGACCTTGTTGTTCTGAAAACAGTGGCCATTTGTGAATATGGGGTGAGTTGTTGATTGATTGAACGATTAAGTTTGTAATCACACGAATTCTTCAGCGCTTATAGATTGTGCTTCATTGTCTATAGGCTCGCACAATTTCTGCCAAGTATATCATGAAGGGCGATGATGACACTTTTGTCAGAGTGGATGCTGTATTGAATTTAGCAAGGAACTTTCCGGTTGACAAGAGCTTCTATATTGGGAACATAAACTACTACCACAAGCCCTTGCGCTACGGTAAATGGGCCGTGACATACGAGGTATTTAGAATACGTTCCACAACAATGTTCTTTCTAGAGTTGTGGAATGAAGCTTTCTGGGAACGATTTCACGAACTTGTTTGCTGTGATATGCCATTAAGTAGCTTTATTATTATTATTTTTAATTACACCTAACTATTTCCGCTTTGAACTTCTTGACTATTAGCTTCTCATTTCTAACTATATTTTTGGTGGACTCAAAGTGATGTGTTCTTGCATTATTTTTCCAGGAGTGGCCCGAAGAGGATTACCCACCCTATGCTAATGGGCCTGGTTATATTTTATCGTCCGATATTGCACGCTATGTTGTGTCTGAATTTGAAAGGCATAAATTAAGGGTTAGTGAACTATGCCCTGTGTTTGCTGATACAATGGCGGTTGAAGTATTTGTTTTTTTTGGCTTAACGATTCCGTGGTGACTTGACTTCACAATGCAGTTGTTCAAAATGGAAGATGTAAGCATGGGAATGTGGGTCGAGCAATTCAACAAGACGAAACCAGTAGAGTATCTGCACAGCTTGAAGTTCTGCCAGTTCGGATGCATAGAAGAGTATTACACGGCTCATTACCAATCACCGAGGCAGATGATGTGCATGTGGGATAAATTGCAAAGAGAGACAACCCCCCAGTGCTGCAACATGAGATGACGATGGAGGGATATATGATTAGAGGCCATCTTTGGATTCAGAAAAAGAAGCAGCAAGTTTTGCAGTTATAGCCATCGAATATTGTATATACTGTGGAGCTTGGATAGAGAAACGTTTCGCCCCTGTATAAATATAGCCCCCTCGTTGAATTCATTTTTTTTTTATTGCCCCATGCCATGTATGATTCTTTCTTTCCTTCCTTTCCTTGGTTTTTCTGAGGGGTTCATTTCTCTGGGAATAGCATTCAAAATGGAATGGAAGCCCAAGTCGAATTGCTTCTCTAACTTGGCCCCAAAAAAAAAGTCACTCTCTTTCCGAACCCAAGTCAAAGGTACTTAATACTTTTTTCCATTCAATATATAATTTACAAGTTTCTTTTTAGAAGAAATTTATTTTTTTAACATTTTATATAAAAACATGTGTTATTAATTTTTTAAATTTTATTCTTTAGTAAGGTTTTATGAGTGGAGTAAAATGTTAAATTCAAGGAAAAATATTTAATAAAATGTATTTAATAAAAATAAATTGGTACGTTTGTCCCAAAAAAAAAATTGATGACTTTTTTTTTTAATCTTTTTCATGCAACATTAATATTTGATAAATGATTTTGATACGTAAGTGCAACTCGGGGACAAATCCAACTCAGCTAACCCGCGTAGCTAACGTTCTCGCCTCTGACCAATTCTCTTCGCAAGAGTTCTTCACACTGATCGCTCCTCGCTCGCGACTATTTTCGTCAGCAACACGGCGTCATGTTTGTTTCTTGTATTTAATTTAATGCAATGTTATTGGTGGTTTATTTTCATCCACAAACGCGTCAGATCTCAACTAAATTGTTTCGTTACATTTGTTTGATAATTAATATGGATTGCGCCTCTTTGTAATCCTCAATGAATTTCAAAGAACTTCGTTTGCTTTGGAAATTTCTTTTATATTTTTTACATTAAATATTGAAGAATTTATTTTGAAATTTGCACATGTCAAAGCAGTAGGCAAAGCCAACATTTAAACCCTTCTGGCCAAAAAGAGAAAAAGGCTCACATATCCATGACTTGTACCAACTATCAATCTTTTTTTTTTTATCATCACTAAATCTCTATCAGTTTTTTTTAATATACATAATTGATATATAAAAAGTATATATTATTTATTTTTAACCATTGGGCTTTTACTTACTATCCACATCTTACTTCATTCTTATCATGTAATCTAGTCTTATCTAGGCTGAATTGTTATTATTTTTACTTTCAATAATTTTTGGATTTTAAAAATCAAACCTTAAAAAAAAAAAAGTTTATCCTGAGCAAACTCAATCAAAGGTAGAATTAGGCCAGGAAGGAGAAATTATTGAGGCTGCCAAGTGCCAACTCTGTAACATGAAAATGATTTGTTTTGGGAATAAAGCCATAGGAACAAGTTTCTTCAACTTTCGCTCACTTAGAAGCAAAAGTCATTGGAGGGTTTATCAAATTTAGCTCCGGCGTGGCTGCCACTTCTATCCAGTACCTGAACGAGCTATGACAAAAATAGCACATCACATTCACATGGGGGCAAAGATTTGTTATTGATCAACATTTGAACATGTCTTTGTATATATCATGAGAATCTCAGATTCTGACTCTGCTCTCATGTCATGTGATTCTTGTCAATATCTTCCTTGTTTCTCACCCACCAAAGAATATTACCTGATTCCTTCTTCTTCTTCATCCCAACACTTTCTTCAAATCGCTATATTTCTAGAATATAATTGTCATTAGGTCCTGGCTAATCTCAATTAGGCAGTAATTTCATGACTTCACAACTTTTTGCGTCGTTATAATTGCCTTCCTTTGGTAAGGATTGTCCACATGCTATGCTTCTGTGGCCTATATTAAACACAATTTTATATCGCTAAGCGGAAGATTATAATAAACACTTCAATGAGATTGAGGGAACGTGAAACAATTTAAAAAATAAAAAGGCAGCCGTACCCATTGGATGTGGATCAACATGAGCGACGATGGGTAAGTTGCAATTTAAAAAACAAAAATTATTTGATTCCAATACTTATCTACTTTAAATAGTATATATTTCGCTTTAGCAACTTGAATTTGACTTTTTAGACAATATTTTAAAGTTAAATTTTCAAATACACCAAATTAAAGTACAATATTCTTTTTAAAATTGTTTTCAATACATCCTGGTCCAGAATAAAGCCTTGATATATTATTAACAACAATAATATAAAAAACACTGTTGTGGGTTTTCTAAAATTTATTTCAAAATCAATATAAAAAAATCATGTTCGTGCAAAGATTTCCTAACCTTTTAATTGTAGATTTTTATAAAGAATAAAAATATGTATATCATGATTGTCAAACTCTCAAGTTAATTATATGAATTTAATAATTTTATGTTTCTAATTTATAAAATTATGTTAATTCACTTATAAACTCGAACTAGATATAAATTCAATTAAATTTACGAGTTTATCATTTTTACATTTATAACTTACAAAATCATGTTAAATAATTTATAAAATTAGATTAAATACAAGCTTAGTTAAATTTATTAAGCTCATTATTATTTTTTAGTTGAGTGAATTAAATATATACTATAAAAAATTCAGTTCATATAATTATAAAACCTAATTCAAAGGAAAAAAAAACTTGAAATGCAAAAACTAATATTGATAAAAAACAAAAGTATCAAAAATAAAGGCCTGTTTTTTTACTATTCTTAAAAACTATTTTTTAAAAACAAAAAAACTTGTTTGGTTAATGATTTTTTAATTTTTGTTTTGAAAACATTTTTTAATTTTTTTGTTTTTGAATACAAGAAAACCAAAACAATTTTTAATTGTTTATGTCCTTTTTTTTTTAGTTTTACAGAGAAAAAGCAGAAACCAAGATATGAGAATTCTTGTTAATGGCAAACATTATAGTCCCTCCATCTTAAATTATAAAATACTTTTAAAAAAATTTGGTATCTCAAAATATAAGATACTTTAATAAAAATAAAGTTTCATTAATGATTTTTTTTTCGTATTATCCTTCCCATATATTCTCTCTCTTCAATATTATTTTATTAATGGAGTATTAAATGAAGGACATTTTAAAAGTTTATATTTTTATTTTGAAAAAGTAAGGTTGCAAAGTATATTTAATGAGCTTTATTAGCATGCGATATTTATTTAAAAATATTTTATAATTTGATATGAAGGGAGTAATTTTGTATCGATAAAAATAATCACCCATCTCATAAATTTATAAAAATGTTTTTGGATTAATATTACCAAACAAGTTTTTTTTTATTTGTTCTCAAAAACAGTTTTTAAAATTGTTTTATGAAACAATTTTGAAAACAAAAAATGAAAACAACAAAAAACAAGCACAAAGTTCCCCTATTTTAAAATTTCTATACCTTGTATATGATAATTGATTAATGTAGATAGATTTAATTTTAATATTTTTAATTTTTAATATATTTAATTAAAGTATAATTATATTTTAATAGCCATTTATTAATAGAGGTAATTTTTATGAGTTTAAAATATAAGTTTGCGATATAGGTTTATTTCTATCACAAGTTTATTTAAATTCATGAGTTTGACAACGTTGATGTATAGCATTTACTTTTTTAATCAAGTTTATGAATATTTTACAATAAAACTTTAAATATTCAAGCGTTTTTATACATAATTAAATGGTCTTACACGGAACAAGAGTTGTTAAAACTTCACAACTTCCAAAATTTAGAGTTGTTATAAACTTCTTTTGGTGAATATACAAAGCATGTTCTATTGACAACTAAATATAATTTCTTCCAAGAATTGAAGGCATATGATATATCTCTTTTTAACTAAGTTACAATAAATAAGAATTGAATTTCAAATCTTAACCATTTATTAAGTGACAAGAGTCCTTGCTATATATACTAATTTAAATCCGTGGGTTAGAGTTGGAAAATGAACAAACCTAATCAATATGGGTTCAGGCACAAAAAGTTCTTTTACTTAAAATTTGATATTTTTAAAAACTTAGTCCTTATTTATTGGTCTTGGAGTTGAGTTTGTAAGCTCTTTTTTTTTTTCAATTTATTCTTATATGATAATATCACATATTTATTTTTTAAGGTATAAATTATAATGTTTAAAAAATTATAAGATAATACTTGGACTCTATTCTAGTTCATTTGGTCCATTGACATTGTAACATCCTGATTTTTATATAATAAAGAAATTGTGGAATATAGGTTTTGAGGAAAAAAAATGATAATAATAGGAATTTATATTATTTGAGGTTATTTAGAAATGATATTATGGTTAGGTATTTAATTATAAATTTAAAAATTTAAATTTAAAATCACATAAGCAATATTTAGTTAAGATATAATACATAAATAATTTTTTTATTGTGTGTTAAAAAAAAGAGAAGGTAGAAGGAACAAAAAAAAAGGGGGGGGTGGAAGGTTGTTGTTTCTAAGTCCCACATTGGTTAGATGAAGGAAGAGAAGAGGTGCCTTCATGTATAAAAAGGAGGGGGTGTGTGCATTAGGAAGCATGAGAGGCTAAGATGTAATTTAGAGGAAATTGCAACTTTTGGCCCAAAGGTTTGAATAATTAAATTCGAACCTATAGTTTTTTTTAATATAATTTTGGGACCACAATCCCATTTTTATATTATTTTTCTCTCTTCCTCTCACGTTGCTCGGCGTTTTTCTCGCAAGGGGGGATTATTTTCTTTTTCTTCAGGTATGTTCTAACTTTCCTGTTTAGATTAACATTTAAAAATTTATTTAATTACAAAATTAATTTTATAGTTATTTTCTAAATAATATTAGCTTTCTAGTGATATGATTATTTTGTAGGATAGGGTAAATATTTTGATTAAGATTTTTCTATAGGATAGTTAATCTGATGATATGATGGATTAAAAATATAGGTTAAAACTCTTAGGGATATAATAAATATTATAGAATATTTTCTTGAGGTTGAAACTCATGTTTAAGAATTTTTGAGTTAAAAATTTAGATCTATATGGTTGAATTTATGTGCAATCTGAGATGTAGGGATAAACCTATGATTATTAAATATTTATTTAAGTATGAATAGGTATTTTTGAGGTTATAGAAAGGTGATTTGAGGCTTCAGGATAATTTTAAAATTTTTAATTTATTTTTGGATGAATTTTTAGAATATAGAAGGATGAAATTGTGATACTAGAAGTGATTTGAGGATAAAATAGTTTATTAGGGTATGAGAATTTTAGAAAAGGATTGGAAAGTTAAATGAGGCATAAATCTTAAACTAGTGTTAATATGGATTATAGATCTAAGACTTTCTAACTCTTTAAATTAGAGTTATTTATTTTAATGTAAAATTAATATATAATATTGTGAAATAATTATGTAGATTATATTGACAAAGATAGTGGTGAAAAAGGAGTTGTGAAGGGAAACTTGTTATTCAAGACACAAGGTAACCATTATTAATATGTTGTGATGAGTGTGTTTGTGAATGGTTATGTGTTGACTTGTTGTTTGGAAAAATTATGAATTATTGAAAATAAATACTGTTATATACTTGTTTGAAATTATTGCCAAGTGGGTCAAAAATTTATTTTTGTTTATCATGATGAGATATTATTGTTCGGATATATTCCTGTTTGGATATTTGAATGATGCATGACTTGTCAGGGTATTTAATATATGATGTTAATGGAAATTTCTGTTCGGTTAATTATTACCACGTGGTAAGCCCTCATTGGACCCAATGAGTGGCGTGTCGCTTGGTCCAACTCACCTTTGGCCGGGTGATTTGGCGTCCGAGCATGGTGAAAGGAGGATATAAGGTGCAGTCATGCAATTAAATACCTGTTCGATTTGTTTGAAAATATTGTTCGGCTAAATGTTTTGTGTGCCCACTTAGCAATCGCATGATTAGTTACATCCGCATGCATCATTACATATTAATTTTTGGTTACTGGGACTTTTAAGTCTCATTCTCCGTGGTTAATATTTTTACAGGAGCGAGTCCGGCCGAGAAAGCACCAGAGGTGTAATTATGGTGTATGAGACACCATTTTTTACGTTGCCTCTTATTTTGGATTATACAATATATCTTGTGCCAACTTAGGACATATCTTCTTTGTGAAGCATGTAAACTTTAATCCTTTTTATTAAAAGTATTTATTTGACCAAGAGGATTATGTTTGTCCCTCTTGATTCATAACCTGATTTAAATATCATGCCATGAGGATCCTGTCTGTCCCTCATGGTTCTAATTGCTTTTTTGAGATATTTTAAGACCTGTGGTATATTGTCTTGGATGTACCATGATAGAAATTTTTCTACCATGATAAGGGTATGATAAGGGTTCAATGAAAAAAAAAGAAAGTAAAAAAAAATTTGTTGAATTAATAATTTGCAAAAAAATCGATTTGTAAATTTGAGGGTGTTACAGACATAAATTTTTGATGTAGGACTAAGTTTAAGAGAGAAGCGAGAGGAGAGAAAGAAAGCAATATAAATAAAAGAGAAGAGAAACTAAACAAATTTTAAGGAAAATTAGAAAATAAAATTTTAAACTTTAAATTTAGGAGAATTTCAACAACAAGAATAATTTTGGGAAACCGGTATAAAGATCTTAAAAGTATCAATTAATTTAAGTTAAGTTTTAAGTGTTAAATTTTAAAAATCTATAATTCAATCTCTCAATTTTGCCATCCGTTGTGATTAATTTACAACTTATATTTTAAATTTTAGCAAGAGAAATAATTTTTTTTTATTTAACTATGTTACAATTTAAAAAATAAGTTATAAATTCATCACAGTACAGTTATAAACTTATGAGATTGAGTCGTAAATTTTTGAAGTTTGACACCTGAAACTTAATTTAAATTATTTAATTTTTTTGAGACTTCTTTATCATCCTCCCAATGATTGTAGCTCTGGTGATGAAAACCTGGGAAACTTAAACCTAACTTAATTGTTTGGCACAAAAACTAACTTAAGTTTTAAGTGAAAAAATTATGAAAATAAGAATATAACTTAATACTCCATGTGCTCTAAACTCAACTTCACCATTGAAATCAATCAAGAAAAATTTTAAGATTTGTTTAATTTATCTTCAAGTTAAATAAATTACATACCTTGCCTATATTAAATACATCATAATTTTTTTTTTGTAAACTTTCCTATATCAACATTGAAGAGTAGTAAAATGGAAAAATTATAATAAATAATCAAAGAATTCCTAATAAAAAGAATCATATATAAGAATAAAATCAGTGCTAGATTTTCTTAATCTAAAGATAAATTTCAAATATCCATAATTTTATATTTTGTATTAGCATCAATGTTGATCCTGACTTTTTTCTAAATTCTTTGAAAAAAAATCAAGCATACATAACTACAAGTCCAGCTAAATGGAAATCACTAGTGGCGTTACGCTATAGCTTCATCAATAATTCTTGTATGCGTTATCATGGTGCAACTTTCGAGTTGTGGACAATGACAAGTCCTACATCAAACAAGCAACGAGAGGCAAGCAAATCGCAAATGTCCATCGATTTACAAATTAAAAAAGAAAAAGTAAGAATGAGAAGGACCCCATTATACGCCGAGGATCGCCATTATCACCATCCCAGACAGCCAAAGTACAAACTTCGCCAGATAGCTTCACGGCGCATTGCGTAAATCCTTCTCCCTTCGCAGGGTCGCTTTTGTCTTTTTGGTGTCTCTCTCTTTCAAATTCAGACCTTTCGCTCTCTCCTGTCCTTCCCTCCCCAATAATAAATTACACATAGCGGACACTGAGTCGGTCCATATTCTAAAACTTTTTCCGTATGTTGGACCATCGTCAACATTCATTCACATTAGTGTTAGTTGAACCTAATATTCTATCTCATATTTGTCCTTTTCATTTCATCAAACCCTCATGCTATTTGCTAGTGTCACTTGACTCATCTTGCTTATAAAAATTGGTCCTTTCTCAACTCTCATCCTTACCCACCATACCACTCTCTTCAATTATTTTCTCGTCTCTGTTTTGATAGTCCAAAACCCAACGCAACAGATCAACAATGGTGCCCCTTAAGACGACAGAGATGTGGGCGACAATGGGGTCGACCATAGCTAGCTTCATGTTCGTGTGGGCAATCGTACGGCAGTACTGTCCGTACGAGGTTCGCCGCTTCTTCGAGAAGTACACGCACAGGCTCATGGGCTACTTCTACCCTTACATTCGAATCTCCTTCCATGAATTCGTTGGAGATCGGCTCAAACGTAGCGAAGCCTACGCAGCCGTAGAGGCGTATCTCAGTGCCAACACATCAAAAAGCGCAAAAAGGCTCAAAGCAGAAATGGGTAGAGACAGCAGCAACCTCGTACTCACCATGGACGAGTACGAGAGGGTGGCGGACGAATTTCAGGGCGTCAAAGTTTGGTGGGTTTCGAGTAAGATTATGTCTCCGACAAGGTCCATGCCTTTTTATCAAGAACAGGAGAAGAGGTTGTACAAGCTGACTTTTCATTATAAATACAGAGACACCATCACTGGCTCGTATCTGGAGCATGTGATGAGAGAAGGGAAGGAAATACGCCTGAGGAACAGGCAGAGGAAGCTGTACACGAACAGTCCTGGCTATAAATGGCCAAGTTATAAGCAGACAATGTGGAGTCACATTGTATTCGAGCACCCTGCTACGTTTGACACAATGGCTATGGAGCCGGAGAAGAAGAAGGAGATCATTGAGGATTTGTTGACATTCAGTAAAAGCAGAGATTTTTATGCAAGAATTGGTAAAGCGTGGAAAAGGGGTTATCTGTTGTATGGTCCTCCTGGTACTGGGAAATCTACGATGATTGCAGCAATGGCTAATTTGTTGGCATATGATGTGTATGATCTTGAGCTTACCGCGGTCAAGGATAACACAGAGCTGAGGAAGCTTTTGATCGAGACAACCTGTAAGTCTATAATTGTGATCGAGGACATAGATTGCTCTCTTGATCTTACAGGGCAGAGGAAGAAGAAATCAGAGATATCCTCAGAGGATGATGGGGATAAGGTGAATGCAGACATGGGAAGGAAAGAAGCAAAGGAAGAAGGCGGCGGCAGCAGCAGCAAAGTGACGCTTTCAGGACTTCTGAATTTCATAGATGGAATTTGGTCTGCATGTGGAGGGGAGAGACTGATTGTGTTTACAACTAATTATGTGGAGAAGCTTGATCCTGCACTAATCAGGAGGGGTCGAATGGACAAGCATATAGAGCTATCGTACTGCAGTTTTGATGGGTTCAAAGTGCTTGCCAAGAACTACTTGAAGATTGAAACACATCCTACGTTTGATACAATAGAGAAGCTACTAGGGCAGATGAAGATCACCCCAGCTGATGTTGCTGAGAACCTGATGCCGAAGTCTCCCATGGACGATGCAGAAAGATGTCTTTCAAGCTTGATTGGAGCGCTTGAGGAGGTCAAGAAAGCTTCAGCTACCGCAAAGGTGGAGGAACAGAAACAACGTGTTCCAATTATAAAGGAAAATGGTGAGTTTACAGGTGACACAGAGACTGCCAAAGCAATGAATCATTACCAGCTATAGTCCATCAATTACCTTGTTGTATAAAAAGATTCTTGCCCAGGGCATGGTGTGAGGCAGATTTGTCATTATATTACTAGACGGGTATTATTGTATCTTTTTTCCATGTTGAAAACAAACTAGGTTCGAAATGTCAAATGCTCACTTGCACTATGAAGTTCAAGAGAAATAGAACTAGGGGACTTGCACCAACTAAAGATCTTTAAAAGTTACAGGGCTAACTGAAGATATTGTACACTGATTGGCTGGGCTAAATAACGCCCAATAAATTCTCATTCATTTTCGTAGGGCCTTTGAATGTAGACATACTAAAAAATGACTACCTAATCTACACATCTCAGTATCATGCTGCTTCTGGCGGCAAATCATTCACCATAGGGAAGAGATCTGACGGCACCTTCCACTGGGGCTCATAACAAAAATTTATAGTTCTATTATCATACACATTGACTTTCTTGATAGAAAACTACAACGCCTGCAATCAGGAAGAAGGGGAAGCTTGAACATTATTATCCTCATCTTTCATTATTGTGTTTAGACCGTCGTCAAAGCCAGAGGAAGGGGCAAGCTCATTCAAATCAAGGAATCGTCTTTTTCTTGATCCCTCACCATCCTCCTGACTGGGATCTGATTTTGCAGGAGGTAGATTTTGCCTCTCTCTCTCTTCCACCTCAACATAAGCATGGTGCTCATTATCTACTTTTGTTTCCTGATCTTCACCATCATCGTCATCTGAATCCTCATCTTCCATCATATAATCACCATTTTCGCTGGGACCTGAGTGATTGTCTGAAGCATTAGACTTCTCAGGTTTCATAGACTCTGGCTCTGATTCTGACATCTCATATTGACGGTAATTGATACGGTTTCTGGTGGCCCTCTTGCTGCGTCGCAAACCAATGCTAATCTCATCTACGGACCTGAGTTTAGTTTCTCTCCTAGTGCGACCTGGCAATTGCTTAGATTTCCGAGGCTTGTCACTGTCTTCACTGATACTCAAAGAATCTTCGTCGTCGTCGTCATCTTCTTCTTCTTCAACATTGTCTTCATCCCACTGATATTCATCATCTCCCTCAGAGCTACTGGAACGGTTCCTTCTCTGCTTACGTTTCCTGAGATACTCTTCATCATATACAGCTTCTCCGACAATATCATCATCACTGTCATAGTCAGCCTCATTATCTGACAATGCTTCGACAAATTCTTTCTCTGAGTAACGCATAGGCCTCTGTCTTCGCCGATTGCTGTCGTAAAAACAATAAGCAAGAATCAGAGGTTAGACATCAGGCAACATCGGGAATTTTCTTCTCTGTCTTTATTTTTATATTTTTGGGTGCATGTGTTAGGAATTCTCACCTTCGGTCCAATAATTCAGATTTGTGCTCTTCTTCTGTATCATCAAAGTCAGGTGATTTCGGAGATGGCATGCTAAAATCCAGATGTTCTGAGGCATGTGAAGGACCACTCCGTCTACCATTACTCAAGGTTTCATGTTTTCCTACTATTTCTCTCCTGGACGTAGGTTCTGGAGATGGTTGTTTTTGTCTGAAAAAGGAAGGAGTAGATTTTTATGCTGTGTATGATTAAACCCCTTTTCCCAGTAGGAAAATGTACACAAATACATCAGGAACAAGCAGAGATGAATTTCATACTTGGTTACTTTAATCGCCTCACTGATGGACCGATCATAATCATCTGCAATGACATTCATGTAAAGAATTATATTAGTGTTCCATCGGCAGATGAAAATGCACGGGTAGCAAGATGATTCCCACCCAACCAAGAAAAAAAAGAAAAAAAAAGAACACCAGGTAACTTCAGATGATAATTGTATCAGGGTGATCGTAAAACAAGAAAGCCGATGCCAATACATGGAAGTGCATCCTGCATCGATAATGACACATTGAACTATATCTGTTCCAGATTGCCTCGCCTCTATTCAAAAATATTATGGAGAAGTGACAAACATGCTTCAGTTAAACAATAACTAAGCTGAGTGATGAATCTCCAAACAATAGTTATAATGGAGAAGGCAATTTGTGTGTGCTACAGAAAAATAAGCGAGGCAAGGCTGACCTAGTCAGACAGTAAAAACCCAAGATGATATATTCATCAGATCAAGGACTCGTTGGTTAGTCCATAAACACATACCATCTAGCAGTCAGAACAATATCCCTGTACACCCTGTTTTACCCATGAAGGAACGCTTATCAGCCAAGCATTGTCCAAGAATAATGTTTTAGGTATGGATTATCACATTTAGCCTACATCAGCACCCCGAGGTACATACACAAGCAGCTAACCACATGAAATGGAGACTTGATGCCATAATAGCCTAAAATAGGGTTAGAAAATCAACATGAACAGCATTTTACAGTGTGGGCTTCAACCAGCAAAATCATGAAATCACAGGTTCCAACTACAACAGGTTAAACCTTCTTGCTCTTACCAAATGTGTAAGTAACAGGCTTCCTATCACGAAGTGAACGCCCAGTAGCAAGGCCATCAACCCCTAAGAAATTATCAAGAAGAAGAGCCTGTCTGTGTTGCTTTTTCAGCAACCTCTCCTTCCTCTGTGAAAATGGGGAAACCAGATTTATATCAGTTACTCTTTGTCAGAGCAAAATTAACCCAAAAATACAAATAGCAATACAATTCCGCAAGGACCATAAATAAGCAAAAATGAAAGGATAGAATCCAAAGTTTAAATCTTGGAATGCCCTCCTCTTATCATTCTTCTAGAGAAAATAAGAGACACACCTGAAAATAAATTTAACAGTAACAGTACCTTGTGAACTTTCTCAATCTCTGGAAGCATGTCTATCTTCAGTTTTTTCCCTAGAGAAGCCTCAGTTCTATTTCTGCTTGAGCAAAGCTTCTCCTATACGTGAATATGAACAAAATCAAGTAAGACTAAACTTGATAATATGAAAAAGTTACCAGCAACGATGAAAGCAGGGGAGGTAATCTTCCCCCTATTTTTTTTCAAAGAGGGTGAATCCTATATCCGGACACAAACAAATATCAGAACTGTAAATCTATAATGAAACTACGTCAATTACATTGATCAAAGAGCAAATAATGTTTTAAAGAATTGATCCTGGGAATTGACTTGACGTAAAGCATGATTGTTGAATAATTATGGAGATAAAGTTTATACTCTTTTAGCTCACATTACTAAATGCCAATGAAGAATGTAGCCTGACTCAACGGTGTTAAAATCAACAACACAGCCCCATATTCCAAAAAGAAAAAGTTCCAGGAACGTTTATAATGATGCCAAAACGTTCAAAATTGGGAATTATAAAGGAGACTCAATAAGCTAGCTATATGAGATTTTTGTTAAATGTTATAAATTACTTCTTCTGGTCTCAAATACAAGTCACCAATAATACTTCACAGATATTAAGAAAATTAATTAAAGGTGGTTTAACTAATTAAATTTGTACCAAAGCACGATTATTTTTCAAATTTTCCCCTAATTAAATGGTTGACTTCCTTCCATAGTAAATTGAATTATTTTTTATGTCTTCTCTAATTTCTCTCAGTTTTCTGTATCCTAAGTTTTAATGAGGTATTTAAGAGAAAAGCCATTTAATGATACAGACAACTTGAAAAAGTGACTTATATTTTGGATCAAGAAAACTCTCTAATATAGAGAGTATAAGCTAGGACGTCATATGCATTTAAAAAAAAAAAAGAGGAAGAAGTAACCAGTTTTAGAGCTTCTAGCAAAGCAAAAGGCATGCAAAGTCTTCTGCAGAAAATTGACATTCCCTTTAAGCTGGTTGACATGGCCAGAGCATAATGCTAAGATTTTTAGAAGTTCCACCACCTTATTTTTAGCAAGAAAATTGTTGCCTCGCTTCTCAATGATTTTGGTTCAAGGTCAAATCACCCAGTCTGGTTGAGTTTTCAGGACAATGGTCCTATGAATGCGTTCTTTCTTTCATTTTTTTTCCTTCAATTTTAATCATTCATTTTTTGGGGTGCCTTTCCATGTATGTTCCCTAGAGGATGTCTTAGGGCCTGTTGTTTAAACTTAGCAAAAAAAGTGATTTTGATTAAGCAACATGAGGGAGTTATTGGGAGAATATTAATGACATTACACACCGTAAAGATGCCCAATGGATGATGCAGACTGATACAGTTATAAAAAGATTTTTTATCACTGGGCAGGTAAAGTTCTACTCAACCACAAAATTTCTATATCTGTCTTTTGTCAAGACTTTACTCTAAATTACTATTTTGGCAACCAAGAGAGATGGTAATGAAGGGTTAATCAGAATAATTCATGAATTAAAAGTTTTCTAATTTGACAATGTATGATTGAGATTTCCTTCTAAATGACATGCTCATACTTCAATTACCACCAAAACATTAGGTTACTTGGAAATTAAGTTAGTGATTCTCCTCATAGAGAACATTGGATTAATTATTCATTGGGCATGTAAGAACAATGTGTGACTTATATTTCGACATTTTAAGGATTGATAACTGTATTGTCTACTTGCTCAACATTTCTTAGCCTATCTTGAGTGCTCTTCCTCTCTATAATAATCATCTTAATATTACACTACAAACTTGTTCCCAAGCAAGCCACCCAACAATAATTAAAATGTCTCCCTGTCATCAGGCAACTAAAATATGAAAATAGAACAATTTCCGAAACTTACAGAAACATCTTGAAATTCATCAAAATTAGTAGCAACAGCTTCCCATTGATATGATGTATTAGAAAGAACCTTTGAACCTTTTGCCCTCCCTTTCTTCACTTGAACTACTTCAGTTTTCCTTGTTTCACGATATAACCTATGACCAATAATTGGGTCATCTTCATACCTGCACTAATCAAATTACAAATAAATAAACCAACAGTCGATCTAATTGTACAACAGCTATCCAATATATTATTTCAAGATCCTCACAACTCCAAGTGAAATTTCAATTTTGGAAGAAAAAGTATCACCAATAAGAAATTCCATGAGAATCACCCCCAATTCGCTCTTTTCGAAATGTTGAAAGTTGAACACCATGTCTGAGTGAGTTGTCGATGTAACTTCGGACATCTTCTTGCTGCAAAATATCACCCAAATTGGATTATCAAGCTGCTGATACATAAGCAGGTACAGTTGTCAAAGTAGGACCACGTCAAGCAATGATAGCATTTAACATAAGGTTGGAGAGGTCGAGAACCAAATCAGATGTGAATATCTTCAACCATCTGAAGTTTAAATTTACACAGCCATGCACATATCGAAGTACATTGTATGATGATTATGGAAAATTCATTAACACAAGCTACAATCATGCAAGGAAATTGATTGCATGTAATTTGTGTGTTCATAGAAAAGGGCTCTGCAGCATTTTCTTCCAATTAGATAGATTGAAAACATCAGGTGGAGCTCATTCTACCATGCCAAAAGTATACCTAGTTAGAGATAAAATAAACAAAAATATACATAAACAAAAATAGTACCTCAACACGAATGTCACATAAAGCTTTTAAGATGACAGACGGATCCCAAGATCAAGTGATTTATATGCTTCAACCTCCGCCCTGTCATATTAGAATAACCTGAGACTTCAAGCATGCAAATAGATTGACATCACAGAATATTTTTATATTTCATGGCTACTTACCCATGCGAAGCAACAATTGGAACATCCCCATCGGCAACCTGTGCATAATTACAACACAATCTTATTAGGCTCTAAAGCTACAAAATTCACATTACTCTCAAATATAAGCTTGCTGGTTAAATTGGCCTCATTACCACAAAACCACCAATCCTTCAATTTTTCCTGCATACACAGTTATCCAAGTATCACGTGTGAGTGCCATTCTTGTGATGGAGGGATTGCCTATCAAAATATTGAGAAATGTTATGAGCAGAATAGTGGCAGTCTGGCAATTAGACTATCGAAAGAAGAACAGTACCATTTTCTAATTAATAGACACCGAAGGACATGGGACATAAGAACATAGCAATAGAACTGCAGATGAAATCACAATTTTAAACAAATCTAAACAGCCTTGACTTTCTCCAAGTCTTACTCTTGATAGATCTATTTATCATTAATTATCTACTTACAAGAGACTTCATGCAATGATTGATGGCCATAATCATTTAAGACTTAATATTCTACCCAATGAGCATATTCAAATAAGTTCACCTTTTTACTACTAATATAAACCAAATAAAATGCTTGGCTGCCTCACTTTATTTTCTTCTAACCATAACAGCCTACAAACATGAATATTTAAACCTCAAAACTCTCTGTATGGCTTGGCAGCCGGCTAAACTACCACGAAACTAAGATTTGCTTGTGGTGCATAGATGAATCGTGCGGGTATAAGCATTGCAAAAAATAACTTTAGTCAACATAAAACAAAAGCAAACAAGAGAGGGAATATTTATTCTGGTGAGATACAACAAAAAAGTAAGCACTAAAGTAACAAAATTTTTATCACATTCATCTGAAGATGAACGTAAGCAAGAAAAACAGCACTTCAATAACAAACCAAAACCACAAAGCACCAACCTTTAACAAGGGTATGTGTATATCACTTAATGTGTCGTTTGGCATAAGAAGAGCTGTCTCGAATTCTTCAGCTGAAAACTCTACTGAGATGTTTAAGAGAGGCCTAAATACCTACAGCAAGATGGAGAACCATTAGTCCCGGAACACTGAAGGCATAAGAACCTCACAAAAGCAATCCAAAACCAAAGATCACAGCTTTCCAGCTCACATGCAAGAAATTGAGTACAGAAGCTAATTCCCACATGGACCGCAGGTTCCACCGAGGCAACTGCGAAGGAGGAGGCGGTTCCACTAACGGCGTCACGATCTTGCTGCATTGCTGCTGCGGCGAGTCCTCCTGCTTCTCCTCCTTCTTCGCCTCCTTGGACTTCCGTTGGATCGCCGGCTGCACTGATGAATAGAGACGAGACGCAGCGCGAATGGTGCACGCGCGCGACGGCCTGTTGCTCCTCGTAGTGGTAGGAGCGGCTGTCGTTTCTTCCTTAGAAGCAGCGACGCCGTTTTGGGAATCAGGGACGTGGTTTCCGGAATTTGGTTCCGGCGAGGATCGGTTACCGGGTTCGCCGGAAATCGGAGGAGGAGAGGGAGATCCTTCGGGCATGGTTATGGAGATCCAAAGGTTTTCGGGAAGTTACAGAGGGATTACGCGTGAAGGATCATGGGTTAGCATTGGAGCAAGAAATCAAAGTGAAGGGATTTCAGAGAGAGAAGCCCCTTGCTCAAAAGAGCGAGAAACTACAAACAAAAAACAGAATGCGAAAAAGCAAAGGGGTGGGAAGGACCAAAGGTCCAAGCCCTTATACACAAAGTTACATATACCTTCGTACTGCTTGCGTGACTGCAAATAGGAGACTCCCTGAGAAGCACAAAGAGAAGAAAGATAAACAGGCGATGCAGAGGAAGAAGGACAATTCCTGGGATTTGGGGTGAGGTGGGCTTTGCTTTCACTTGGGGTTATTTGGTAAAAATGACTTCTTTTTTCCTGTCCTCTTCTTGTCCTTTACCGCAGAGTGTGAAATGAATTGGAGATGTGTTGTTTCTGCCTTTCTGGGTTAGCCTTCGTAATTGATAATTTTCACCCTCTTATCCAATGCCTTCTTTATGTAGTTTCAATTTTCTATACTCATACCACAAGCCTGACAAAATATTTTTCGTTTATGCTCTCACTTTTATTTATTACCATTCTCATTATCTGTAGCTTAATCTGCACTAGGAATTAATATACTGAAGCTGATGAATTTCATACAAGGAATTTGTTTCCATTCCTGCTAAGGAAATTCAAATTGCATATCCGTTTAGTAATTGGCATTGTGGCATGTAAGCGTGACAGAAAAGTGATCAAAACTCGTTACTTTATTTGATAATAATTAAGTATTTTTAAAATTAACGCTTGCATTCTTTAATTAGACATTTATTTTTTTTAATTTTAGTGGACAACTTTATTTATTATTCTAACAATATTGAAAAAAAAAATTAAAAAAGTGTAAATAGTAACCTTAAGAAATGTCAGCAAAATATTTTATCATTTTCCAAAAGTTTAGTTTTTATAATTATTTATTATTAGCATAAATTATGAGTTCTTAATTGTTATTTCTTCTCATAAGCAAGTCTTCCTCTGTCAAAACATTTAATTTTCTCTTGTATTTGTTTTCACAGAAAGTGCATTGCATATGTTTAGCCAACGCCATTAGGTTGTCTTCAATGCATGTGATGTTAATCTGCTGATCATGAGTAAACAATAATAACATAAGGTGATGGCAGTCTAATCAAATCACGATAACCTTAATATTTTTAGTTAGTGTGATCCACACAATAGCGATCGCTAGCCCAGAAGAATTCAACTTGGGTGAAATTTCAGTGAGAACCTTTGGCTCAATTTAATTCCAATCAATACCTTCAAAATTTCGCTGCATATGGAGACTAAAAAGAATTAAATAGCAGATTAAAATAATGTTATTGTCGAAAATAAACTTAGGCGCATAGATAATTCATGTAAAAAAATTAATAATTAATGCATAAAAAAATGAACAACTTATTAAATTTTTTATATTAAGTTTGCTTGAAAATAGCATATTCCATCAAATTTATAAACTTGTATATTTTTAATCTATCTTCTAATATTTAAATATGAGATTTTTTTTTATTATATAATACAATTAATATAGGTGAAATTTGAAACTCTTATTAGAATAGAAGCATAACATATTATGAATTTACAACTTTCATTCCACTCATATTAATTGTTCATCTTTCACAAATCATTTGTTCATTTTTTCCGCCAAAGTTGTTTATGTGCCTTACTCTACTTATTTATATTCATAATGATATTATGTTTTTAATGAAAGTTGTAAATTTTATCTATATTAGCTGTTCATTTTACATACATTAATTATTAATTTTTTATATGAGTTGTTTGTGTGCCTAGCTATATCAAAAACAATTAGATTATTTCAATTAATTCTTTAATTTTATTTCAATCTCTGTCTAAAATTTCAAAATTTTAAAAATTTTGACTAAAAGTAAATCTGGTTGAGGAGTTCTCATTAAATTTTTTTCAAAATTATTTTGAAGACAAAATTTAATCGTAAGAATTCCCGAAAAGAATTATTGTTCCTACAGAAAACATAAGAATCCTCGGACGCATTGTACGCTTTGACCAACAACCACCCTTCCCACCATCTATTCTTTTCACTTTTTTAGTAATTCGCCATTATTGTTTTCTTGATAATTTTGGCCAGAGGGGTAAATATGTAATACTGTTTGCCCTTTCCTTTTGTTTTCTTTGGCCAATGTCCTCTCTGATTGTGTTTAGCTGAGAGAGAATAGAGAATAGCCCATGATTGTCTGATCTTGAAAATTACTAGAGAATCAACAATAAATCCTAAGTTTAAGCAGATAATAAGTTATTACAAAGAAATAATTCTAGTCCTAGAGACTAAATTCTAGAGTCAATATTAGATTAAAATTCAAAGAGAGAAAATTGAGAAAAGATAGGACCCACATTTTGGCTTTTTCCCTTGGCACTAGCATTCAAACTCAAACAAATCCTAAGGTTTCTGAGGCTCACCACCCGTCTAGATTTTCCATTAGGACTCACCTTTTTCTAATTTTTGTAATGCATGAAATATAAGTGAATTTTATTTCTCTCTGTATCTCTTTCTCCCAAATTACTCAAAGCAATCATAAACCTGATGGCAATAACAGTCCGGCAATGGATCGATGCTAATCCTTCATATTTTTTTGAACTGATTTTTGCTGTCTCACATGTTAAAAAGATTTCCACCATCGCATAAGCTTATTGAGTCTTGTTATTAAACCTTGAAAAGCAAAATTTAACACCATCTCTTATTCCAAAATTTTATAGTTTACATAAATCTTTGCCTATTTTTTCCTTTCTTATAGTTTTATTCACAGTGAGCATTTCCCCCCTATTTTGTTTGCCTCATTCATACCAAAGTGTAAGTAGAAGTAAGTGATTTGTAGGTTTTTTTTTTTTTTTGAAAAGTTTCACTTTCACCTTTTATATTGGGTTGTCGATGAAATTGTGATTTCATTACAGTAAGCCCCACTGACGACCATGATGTATGGTGCTGTAACTTGACATGACAGTAAAGTGTTTCTACATATTCAAGTTCGTTCGGGTTGTTTGGATGTCCAAGTTTATATATTATAAATTGTTAAATAAGTTAATGACATGATCTCAATCACAATCAATGAAATGAAGCGATCTAAAAGTTGCACTTCTGATTTTCACACATATCTTAGTCTTATTTATTACAAGTTCCCATGAAAAGCATACTGATTTGTAATTGGAGGCTCTACCAAATACGTTAAAAAAAATGTGAAAAATTCATCAGTTTAGTTGCATTCTTACTAGTGAACTTGTATTGGCTAATTCAGAGGAAAAGTCCAAAGTCGAATCTTAAAAAGAAATCAAATTGGTCCCTGATAGGCTTCAGTCAAAACACAGAATTTAGTAGGATAAGAAAGACTGACAACAGAAGGAAATCAACATCTTTATGAAATGAGGAAGAAGAGAGAGGTTTGTGATGTTCTGAAACAGCAGCCTTTTCCTTGGTACACAAGTATCTACAACGTCTTGGTCGTGTTGCACTATAAACACCAGTGCTTGTGAGATAATAAATGTCCTTCCTGTTATCTTCTGCCAATGAGAATACGTACCCCAATACAGGAGTTGAACTTCCCTGCACAAAAGAGCATTGCAATGAAGAGTCAGGAGCCCATGTACAAGGAATTTTGGAACCGGGGAAGTTTCCACTTCCTTCAGGACTTTCAGCACCTGTCAATATGGATCCTGCAGACAGATCTGTGTACATGTACCTGAAATATCACCAATACAAATGTTGTTTTTTGTTATCTGTATTGCCTGAAATAGCTTAAGCATCTGAGTTAATTATTTGGTCTAGAATTTCATTTGTAAAGTATCATCTGTCGGTGCTTTATCTCCACACGTACAAAGAGGTGTGATAGAGATACTGGTATAAAAATCAGAGGTCTTCATAGTTCATAGTGCATCTTAACATTTTGGAAGAAACGGTCATTGACAGGTTTGAATAGTGAGATGGCCGCTTATAAAGAGGGCCAAATTGATAAATAACTTGAAGTCTACCTTCCATACATGCAAGGATCAGTCGTGGAGCGACAAAAAAGCCACCTACAATGGATGCAGAACCGGCTATTTTATCAATCTCTGAATGACTACATCCCAATATAGGAAAGATAGGGTGTATGGAACTGGCAGAGGTATTTCCTTCAGGAGATTCTGATAGTTGGAAAAGTAAAGATCCCTCGTAGACTCGCCACCCATAGTTCCCTCTCTTTTTAACCATATCAATCTCTTGATATTGATACTACAAAGAATGAATCAGAAGACAGAAAACATCACAGTTAGCGCAAGCAACAACGTGATGTTAAAAATTAAGCAGATTTGCATGCCTACTGGACTCTTCTACCACCAAGGGTATACAATTGGATCACTGAACTTGTCCTGAGTCTCCTCATAGAAAGTAGGAGGGCCTCTTGGAGTCAAAACTACAACGCCAAGGGTTCCTAAAACCCAAAGGCCATATCTCTGGTTCAAGCTCCCTGTCACTGTTGAGATATGGATTATCTCTAGGAATACTGTAGTTTCCCCATAAACCTTGATCCTTTATTTCTCTGGTACCTGCTAAGAATGTCGACATGAAGTGACACGTGCACAGTTTATATAAAAATCAAATAGACATGCGTGCTGGTTAAGAGTATAAAAGATACTTGTTACTTAAAGGCATAAAGAAATCTCCATCACTGTTAGAGATTATTCTTCTATATGCTTGGCCCATTATGTTGTCTATAATTTATAGACTCCACTCATAAACAAGTGAGCTCAGAATAAAACTGTCTACTTTGTCAACATAAAAAAATCTCATAATCATGCGTGATTAACATTGATTATTGATCTTATATAAGCCCCGTCTGCCAAAATACATTGCCAACAAGTTCTATGCATAAGGTTATCATGCTAATGTTTTTCATGCAGAAGTAGCTAGAACTTACTAGGTAAATTATCTACATCAATCCTCAAACATTGACAGGTTTGAATAGTGAGATGGCCGCTTATAAAGAGGGCCAAATTGATAAATAACTTGAAGTCTACCTTCCATACATGCAAGGATCAGTCGTGGAGCGACAAAAATAGCCACCTACAATGGATGCAGAACCGGCTATTTTATCAATCTCTGAAATGACTACATCCCATATAGAAGGAAAGATAGGGTGTATGGAACTGGCAGAGGTATTTCCTTCAGGAGATTCTGATAGTTGGAAAAGTAAAGATCCCTCGTAGACTCGCCACCCATAGTTCCCTCTCTTTTTAACCATATCAATCTCTTGATATTGATACTACAAAGAATGAATCAGAAGACAGAAAACATCACAGTTAGCGCAAGCAACAACGTGATGTTAAAAATTAAGCAGATTTGCATGCCTACTGGACTCTTCTACCACCAAGGGTA